ATTAAATGTGCTCAAGTTATCAAGAAAGCACTCTTTTATAACTTCTTTCTTTATTGAAATTTACATAGTAGATATTTTACACACCAAAAGTAATATATAGCAGAGTCAATGACCATGTGTAGGGACAATCACTTGGCTCATAGCTAATTTTGTATTCAAAGTTAATCCTAAGTGTAGGGTAAATTCACTAATTCGTTATAGTCGCACGGTACTGCAGGTATGTTTAATATACTCATGCTAATTCATACATATGTACATGATGAAAATCAATAGGATATTGGGAAAACTTAATATTTAAACGATATTGGTCTGAACTTTAATGATTGTATGTATGTTTTTGGGAATATTTTATACATATATATGTATATAATACATATAGGCAATTCCATGAAAAGGTAAACCACGACTGAAAAAATAAAACCCTTATAACTTCTGCATTTTTGAAGATAGTTCAACAAAATTTGGTATATGACCTTTTGTAGCACCAAAGACGAAGACTTTTTTTGAAATCGGTCTATTTTTACACCTCGCCGCCATACAAACGGAACCGAAAATATCACTTTTTAGCTCATAATTCTGTTAATTATAATACTATCCCTTCAAAAATCGGCAGATCTAAAATGTTTATAAGCCTAAACCTTTATGCCGATTTTCATAACGATTGGACCTCATTTGACCCTAGTTCCATTCAAAGTTTAATTTCAGAAAAACACTTAAACGTCCGTAACTCACCTCTAATGACTAGTATTATGATGAAATTTGGCACAAATAAGTTTTATATGAATTAAAATCACACCCTAGAATTTTATGAGGATCGGTCCATATTTGACCCTAGTCACCATATAACTCCAGTTTTTTATTTTTATCTATAAATTGCTTAAACAGTACATAAGTCGGCCATGTCCGACTGCACTTTCCTACTTCTTTTGATTTGTTGAAGTGTGTGTATGCATATATTTCCAAAATATATATTTTATAACCTAAAAAAAAAATCAGGAGAAAAATCTGTCACATACGATGTGTCGCGTACGATATTTAAATATGTTTATTATAAAATTATATTAATTTATTTTTTTATTTAAAAATTATGGATTACTAATGAAAAATATGTCCCATAGTGTAAGAAATTAAAGCAAAAATGATACACCTACAGAATTCGCAGATTTTTGTAAATATTTACATGTACTTTAAAAACACTTCCGTTTTTTGTCACGTATGATATCGTCATATTTTAATCCATATTTTGGAAAACAAGGTTCCGAATGGGATGATTCCTTTTGCAAATATAGTATTCTTTAAATGGAACAGAATGACAAAATTGTTTTCCAAGTACTCCTAATTTTACAAAATCTATACCACTCTGAAGGCGTGCGAATGTCACATACAATCGTATGAAATTGCCCATATGTATGTATATTTAGTTTTAGTCTACCTTTTAAATAATTTATAAATGAAAATGTGTTGTAAACATGCAAAGAACGAACTTTAAAAGAACATTTTCCTTTTTCAAATGATATAAATTAGTCAATAAGTTCAGCAACACAAATCCAAATACAAGAACTTAGAGGCAATATTAATAACCAAACATTTAGAAATTGTTACTAAAAACTTCTTAGGAAAATATAGAAATGTTAGACGAAAATAAATGAAGTCACCAGAGAAGTATTTAGCGAATATAAGTGTGCTAGATATCTGAATTCTAAATTCTTACATTTAATACATTTTTTATACATATCTCATTTAATATTTATTATCAACATTTAAATTTACTCTTTCAAATTAACATTATGAATATGGATAGGTTTTCGGACAGCTTGATGACAGTAATAACCATTTTAAAATAAGTGGATATATAGACAACAAAAATTAAAACAAGGACTGAAAACAATTTTTTACATATTTGCAACTCTTAAAGCAAAGGATACATACACAGGTCAAAAGATTTTTGAAACCTTAATTAGAATGCAGCCTGAAAATATTTTAAAATTATTTGATTTAAAATGAAAAAGAATTAATTTTTATAATAAATTTATATAAAGACAACAGAAATCTTAAAAAGGACAATTGTATTTACATTTTTTCAACTCTTAAATCAAATAGTATCCTTAAAGTACAAAAGATTTTTGAAGCCTTAATTAAAATGCAGTCTGAAAATATTTTGAAATAAGTTGCTTTAAAATAAAAACATGTATCCTAAAATGTCCACTTCAATGAGTCTCTGTGGATGTATACTAGGTATCTGTGACTGTGACTCTTTATTTTTTACCGCCGGAAATGAATATGAAATGGGAAAACAAAACAACAAAAAAAGTGAAAAATTAAAAAATCCAATATTGAAGAGTACAAAAACAAGAAGCAAAATTCAACACATGTGAGTGTGTTGACGCCTATAGCTTTAAATATTTGTATTGCAGCAGTACACGTACACATGTACACATCGACACCCACACCGACACCAAATACCAAACAAACATATTTTTTTGTTGTATGTATATGAATATCAAGTATTCAGGTGAATGTTGTCATTGAAGATCCTGGTAACAGGTGCTTAGTAGTATAAAAATTTTGCTTAAAACTTTTTCTTTCCTATTTGTAGCTGTTGTTGTAGACCAGCAAAGTCAATTTTCGTTAAAAGTAATATTGACGGTACTAACAACATCAACTGTAACAGCTATAACAGAAATATGAAAATATTTGTTTGTGAATATTACAAAATATTTACCCATACGTACAGACATTTAACCCTTTTGTCACCACATTAAATTGGAACATTTTATATAAACATCTTGTAGTTATATTGATGAAAGGCAATTTTCTCTAGAAGATAAGATTTTTCCATATTTAAAACAAATTATTGCCATTATTACTGAAGAAATTTTAACAAAATTATATTTTTTAACCCATTTTACACTTTCGAATCGATTTCTGGTACAGGTTCCCGTTTTGACTAAAATTATACAGCAGTAAGTTTAGACACTAACAATCAAAATAAGACCCATCTGAACAAAATTGATATATATATATATATATATATATATATATATATATATATATATATATATATATATATATATATATATATATATATATATATATATTTTTTTAACATTGTTACACTTTTAAAGATCCCTGATCAAATCTTAAACAACGGATCGGATTATATAATATATTTTCATATTTCTGTTCCTAGAAACGTCCAATATCTGATAAAACAGACGGAGTACATACAATGGTCTTTATTCTGAATTCTTTAGATGATAGAAAATAATAATTACTTTGATAACAACTATTACCTTTATAAAATAGATTTCAAGAGATATACGAATAGTCGAACACTAAGTTTTTAATAAAATCTGTATTTGGACCACCCCTTAGGTAATTGACATGTACATAAAACCAATACAAAAAAAATGCAACAAACAGCTTTTGTAATAGTAACAACTTGATTACAATTGAAGCCGCAAGCGATAGTCAACAAAACAAATCTAGTTTTTGGAAGTTAACTCTAGTTTTTGTTATTCATAAAGCGCCATGATCGGCAGGAACCCCACGAAAAGTAAAAGCGATATATATTTTAGATTTTTTAATTTCATATAAAATCTGTGTGTATTAAAGGCCTGAACAAGACAACAATAATACGACAATTTGTTTATTAGTGTGTATGTAAACTCATTGTCGAAAGTAGTTATCGTATCCATTGTAATTAACTCTGTTAAACATTTGGTTGTTTTGTAATACATATTAAAGGAATATACATATGTACGTTGTATATGTGTATTGTATTTAAACAAAACGTGGACAGGGATTTTCATTTCGTTTGACTGCAAGTGCGACAATCCGTTGCATTTCCGTTTTCATAACAAACCATCTAGACATGTGCACCAAGGATGGAAAAACAGTTTTTCAGTTACAAGTTGATGTTGAAAATTGGTAAAAGAAACCATGAACAATTTCAGCTTTGAAAATTAATTAAAATAACAAGTACATACTTTAAAACTAAAAAATCAAGTACAAAAGTAAATTTCCAACCCTGTTATATACCAAAAACACCTCTCTCTCTCTCACACATATGCATAGACACAAACACACACCACTACATATTAATAGAAAGTGTAGCATTGCCAACACATCACTTGTTTCCGTTTTTGTAAGATTTTTCAAAGCTTTTATTTCCGTTTGTTTAAATGTATTTTTGTTTCACATTTAAATAGCCAAAATACAACATAAAATTACACTCATTCACCTATTTTAGAATTGAATTTAATTAAAGCTTTTACAGTAACATTTTAAGTATTTAAAGCAAAATTAAACTTTTGCTTTAAAGAATTTATTTCAAAAATTGTAAGAAAACCAAGAAATATTTTTTGTGTAATTCGTTTGCTTATAATATTTTATTCTTCTCTTCTTCTTCTTCCATTTGTTTTTATTTCTTATTTCGTTAAAAAAAATTCTATTATAATTTATCTTGAAATGCTTACATATTCTATAGCGGATATAATACAGGATGTTACGCTCTAACGGAGCGCTGCTAATGTAAGTAGTGCTAATATAACGAAAACATTTACAAAAAAAAATGAGCTATAAACCCTTTAAATGAAAGATTGATATAAAAATATATATATTTTTCAGTTTGTTGTTTATGTTTTATTCTTTTGTGTTGTTCCCTAGAGAAATTTGTTTTATGATTTGTAGGTGTTTGTAAGAAATGCCAAAAAAAGAATCATATATTTACCTCAGTAGTAAGTTTTTGCCTCAAAAAGGTTATTCAAAAGTAATTATTTATCCCCTTTGTTTCCTCACTAAACATGAATTTAAAAGCTTAGTGCAATAACTGGTTAAGACTGTCTTTGAATCAACAAGACATATCTTAAATTTCATTGTTTGTGAGTGATAAATTTTAAGTTTTTTTTTTTTGTTTTTTATTTAATTTAAATCATAATTATTAAAGATAAATATTTTCTTAATTAATTTGTATTTTTTCAACTTCTATTTCATTTTAGATTCACCATATCATGACGTAAGTGGCCTGCCAAATCCATACAATATGGAACATATGGATCAAGATGAAGTTATATCACCACAACAGCACATGTCTCTTAGTTACGATGATAGTTTCGAGGGTGAATACTCATCAACACCAAATTCACGGAATCGTCGTGTTATACGTGAAATTATTGTATAAATTCATACAAACATCACTCATTTTATAATACACTTATCACCCCATACACCCAACAAACATTTATAAAACAATTAAACATTAAATCATTCGTTCATTCATTAATTCATACCATACATACATTCACTTACTATTAAGTTTTGATATAATTTTTTTCAAAAATGAAAAATATTGTAAATGTTTTTTTTTTGTTTTGTTTTACAAAAAATGAAAACCCAACTACTTAAAGGCACTTTGATGATAATTGAAAATAGTTTTAAATGAAATCATCATTGTTTTTTTTAATTTTTTTATATAAATATTTAAAAAAAGGATGAAAAAAAAAACATTGTGCACTTAATTGTTATGAATTTAGCTAAAGTGAATTGTAAGTGAAAAAAAAAATTATCAAATTTAAATGTCCTTACTTAAATCCTACCACTTCCCCTATTCCCTCTCAAAAATTAAAAAAAAAGAACATGTTTAAATTATATTTTAAAAGAAATTTGTTAATAAAACAAATTTTAAATTAATAATATACTTAAAACTAAAATTACCCACAGAATAATGCATTTGTGCATTTGTAATAGATAACTCTCATTCATGCAACTTCATGTTAAAAATTTCTCTGCATTTTTTTTTTTTCGTTATAAGTCTGTCCATTTCTTTATACATTGTCTTTATATTTTACATAAAATTATTGTATAAGTTCGTAACGAAAAATTATCAACGAATTATGAAAAAATTTTATTTTTGTAATAAATTTACTTTTTTTTAATTTTTTGAAAGTTGCCATTTTTTTATAAATATACATACATTTACTTAATATTTTTTTTATTAAATTAATAATTAATATTTTTTTGTTAATTATAGTTTTATAATATTATTAAGTTGAATTTTTTTGTGTCCACAATTAAATTAATTTACACAACAAATATATGAAAACATTAGAGCAAAAATAATAGAAAACCGTTTTATTTACTTTAAGGTTTTTTTATTTGCTTTTTTGTTTAAAATCATATTGCCCAGTTAAATTTTTTTATTATTAATATTAATTAAATTATATGTTTATTTTTCAAATATTTTACAAATTGAAATAAGGTGCCGTTATGGTTTAGTTTAATTAAATATTTTTTTCTTTTTTAACATTATTATTATAAATTTGCCTAAAGGAACATAATTAAATACATATGCAAGGAAATTGCTAGTGGTTGATATGCAAAAGTGCTTAACTGCAATTAAGTTTTTTAATTAAAAACAATAGTTTTAACTGCTGGAATCAAATAAAAAATGGATTGTTAGTTAATTACTTAAGTCATTACACCACTGTTAATATTTGCTCAATTTTCATTTAAGTACTTAATAGTAAAACAAAACATAATTTCTGAAATTTCTTAGCATTTGTATTTATTTATTTAGTTCTGTATTTTAAATATTTATTTTGTCAAGTCGTTTGTATGTTGTTTTATTATTATATTTTGTGTCTCTTTAATAAGTTTTTATATTTTTAAATAGAAAATATTATTTTGCATTTGTTTTTGTTATTAGTTAATGTCAAGCAGCTTCCTGTTCCATTTCCGGTTTGTTAAGTTTAATGTTGAAATTTGTATATTTTGGTTTCAAACGAATTTTTTTTAATACTTTATTAACTCAAAGAATGTACACGCAGGTGAATTGGTCTACGAGGTTGATTTTTCTTAACTGTTCATTCAAAATGCTTCCAAATTGTAGAATCTCCCAGTATAAAGCAACTGATATGTTGTATTTACTTTATTATACAAAATTGCTTTAAAATTTGTGCAAAAAAAGGAACTAAAATTATTTCAAATAATTTTTAATTAAAAAGCTTTTAAAAATCCTAATCTGTATATTTTGTTTACCATTTATGTTAATCTATTATGTTTTTTTTTTCATTTAACTTTAACTCTTAAACTTCCATTAGCACTTGTTCAACGAATTAAATTAAATTAAAACTATACTTGATAAAACAACAACAAAAAATAAATAAATGAAACAACAACAAGAAATCTCCCACAAAAATTGTTAAAAACACTAAATAAGCTAAAAACTAAATTTAAAACAAATACAACAAAACTAGTAATAAGTTATTTGATTAAAACAAAATAAAAAAATCTATATTTAAGTTAAAAATAAACAAAATTATATTATAAGTAAAAAAAAAAACAAAAAAATAAAAACGAAAAAAAAAATCAATTAGTTAAGCTATAAAAGAATTTAGTTATTAAGTTGAATTATCAAATAAGTAAGAGAAAAAAAAAATCATAAAAGTCCAAATCTTAAAACAAATAGAGAAAAATTAACAAAAAGCAAACACAGAAATAAACAAAAACAACAAAACCGCGTTACTTAAATGTAAATAATGTAATGTAAATGTAAACAAAATAAATTTAAAATAAAAACTGCGAAAAACTAATTAGTTTAGTTTTTTTTAAATAATTTTTTATAATAATTTTTTCATTTATTTAAACTTTAATTAATAAAATGTATACTTTATACTGTTATTAACAACAACAACAAAAAGAGAAACAAACATCAAGAGAAAAAAAAATGTTAGAATAAACATTGAAAAATTATTTTTTTAATTTAATCTAATTTAATTATTAAAAAACGAAATACAAAAAAAAACTTAAATGTAGTTAATTAAATTATATATACATATATTATAGTATATACATACAACAACAAACAAAATCTTTAATAAAAAACAAAAAACTATATAAAATTACAAAAGATGTAGTTTTTTTATTTACAAAATTTTTACTAATTACTCTGATCCGAGGAATCTGCCTGACATGGCCTTCACTACTTAAAATCATGGAACGGATAGTCGATAGCTTAGTTAAAAGTATAGCAGTATACCAGGTAAAGGCTTCAAATATAAATAACATGCTTATGTAAAAGGACGATCGGTAAATCGTTGTCTACTATATAGGTGAATCCTTCAATAGCTAATTGTATACACTGGCGTGTGCCTTCTTACAAAAAAATTTCTAAGTATATTGAACCCTGTTTCCTAGGAAAAAAAAGATACCGGTGACCGACACTGTTAAGTACTTAGTTGTTATCCTTGACCGGAAATTAAAAAAATAGGCACCGCATAGAGAATCAACAAGGCATATAGGTATGAAATGGGGCATTAGTCCTAGCTACTATGACACATTGGTTTTATAATAGTTTAATTAGACGAATTCTAACGTATGCATCAATAATTGCACTTCTTTGGACAAAAAGTATAATATTAAACTACAGCTGGGTGTTCAGCGTAAATGCTTCTTGGGTACAAGTGCATCATAAGTACCATGTCAATCAAGTCCCTGGAAACGTTGCTCCTCCCATTAAAAAATATACTAACAGCTGAACGGCTGATAACTTTAGGCGAGCTGACAAAAAAAGTTATAGGACACATCATGAATGTATACTGGAAGGATATATAGAATATGTCGGGAACTTTGACGCACAGATCCCTGATAGAATGTCATGATCAAGCGGAATATTAGAGCAAATACCCATAGGAATCACAACACTAGTTTCCAGGCAGAAGTCCGAGCAATAACGGAATGCGTAAATTGGATTATAATAAATATGGCTCACCCAAGGCTTAACTTATTTACCGACAGCCAGAAGGCAATTAGGGCGAAATCAGATGTTAAAGTTAAATCTAGGACTGTATTGGATTGTAAGACAGCTTTAATCGAATACTCTTCCAGAGTTAAGGCCACTCTGGAGTAGTCGGCAACGAAATACCAAATTTACTAGCTATAAAGGGAAGGCTACTTGAGGTAGTTAACCTGACGAACACAAGATCATTCGACACAACTGAATTAAAAATATGCGTACACAGAGGGATAAATATACACGCCTGGTACCAAATTAACACCAAATTTTTCAATAACATCCATTTTCAAGTTTGTATATACATACATACAACAACAACATGTAATGTAGACCACGCAACTTTTTCATCATTGCAACAATTCGTTGTCACAATCCAAACTTTATGTACATCCGTTGTCTAAATGTTAACAAACGTGGTAAGCTCACTATTGGCAACGCATTTTGAGCCTACCACGTTCGTTCACTTTTAGACATCGGATGTGCATAAAGTTTAGATTGCGACAACGAATTGTTGCAATGTTCACAAAATTGCTTGTTCTACATTACATGTTGTTGTTGTATATATGTATATACTTGACAATGGATGTTATTGAAAATTTTGGTGTTAATTTGGTACCAGGCGTGTATATTTATTTTCCCCTCTGTGTAAAAGAATTCCATAAGCCCTTTTGGCATAACGAGATGGTGGGTAGAACCACAAAGATCCTATGAGGTGACCCTAACGAGAGCAGGACGAGAAGCCTTATCAAGTCTGAGGTTAGTATGATGGTATGTATTCTGAGTGTACACACAGGAATATGGACACAGCTATACAAAATTGGACATAACGATTCAAATGAATGTGGAGTATGTAGAGAGGACAATAAAACTCTGGAGCGCTTTCTTTGCCATTGTCAGGGTCGTGTAAAATTTAGATCCAAATATATTGGGAGTGATATTATTTCGGGTACAACATCCCTCACGAACACTAACTGGAAAATTCTTAGGAAATACGTCTAGGACACTGAGTTTCTGAACATCGGAAGATAATACATTCGCCCATTTTTTGTTTTTACCAACCAACATTTTTCATGAAAAGGGACGCGCAACAGGACCGATAGTGGACTGGGAGTATTTCTTCGAATTTGATGTAGTATACATAACCGTAACCAAAGTCATATAAATATTGACTGCCATTGTAACCGTATTAAGTTTCACCAAAACATACATATTTGATCGACAATCGGTTTTTATTCAAGTCACTTTATTCAAGTCTAATGGGAAATTTTGTTTTTTTATTATCTGAATTAAAAGTTGTTAAAATATTATTAATTTATTTTTAAAATAAAGGTTAACATGGGTAAAAATAAACAGTTTTCAGTTTTTGTTATGACGGAATCGTAATCTATACTTTAATCAAAATTTGGTTTAAAATTCGCTAGTTATTAACAATTTCGTCTAAGATAACACAGTGAGACAAAATAAGTGAAAATTTAAATACCTGTGAAGTGATACTATTTTTCTGAAAGGTGGATCCGAGTTGAACAAGAGTATTTTTTTGAAATTTAACAAACACCTCCAAAATCTTGAGTTACGGATAAAAAACTGTTTTTTCATACTTATAAGTCAGTAACTTAGTTGAATTTCAACCGATTTTAAGTTTCTCTACGGATTTAGCAGAAGCAGAGGCCTTTATAATGACATATATGATGTTTATGTAACCTGGAGAGATATGTATGACTTTCAGCAGTAATCATATTTTTGATTTTAGTTTTGCACCGTTGTCCAAGATTTATAAACGTAGTAGAAAATTATGTCTCTCATGAGTAAAACGCAGTTTTGTTTTTAAAAATCTGTTAACTATTGAAACTATTGAAACAAAAACTGATTTTCTACAAGATGCTTGATAGGGTTAAGCATGGGGGAAAGGGTTAAATATTGGCCGATCCTCATACAATTTGGTGGAAGGATTTAGATTTATATGAAAGTTATTTATGCTGCAATGGAAATTAATGTCGTGAAAAAACAAGTTGCAATTCAGAATTCCAACTTTATGTTAAGAATATACAAATTGAAATTGAGAAATAACAAGTAAGAAATTATAGTCGGGCGAGGCCGACCATATAATACCCTACACCTGTTACAAATAAAATGTTTTTTAGTTTTCATAATAAATCATTTAAGTTGAATTGTGCCTTGCCTCAGATATACTTAAGTCATTTATT